AACTTGAATATTATAGTTTTAATAAATTGATCATAAGAACTTTCGGAAGCTTTAAAGAAAATCATTTGTTTTTCTGCAGAACAGAACCTTATCGGACCGGACCGCTGGTTTTTGGATCCGATTTGAGAAATTAATTTTTTTTTGTTTTATTGTTTTTAGAGAAAATAAACCTGAAGATTTGAAAAAAGTGAATAAAATAAATTAAAATCTTCATTTAATGAAACAAACAAACAAACAAAAACATTTGCCAGAACCGAAACGGGTCTGTCAGAACTGATGATGTCATCCTGTCGTCTCTCAGAAGCTGCCAGCAGCTCTGACCCGGCGGCGGCGGCGGCGGGGGGGCGGAGCACCAAGAAGGCCCGGAAGGCCCGGACAGCGTTCAGCGAGCAGCAGCTGTCCAAACTGGAGACGAGCTTCCAGAACCAGAAGTACCTGAGCGTCCAGGACCGAATGGACCTGGCTGCATCCCTGCAGCTCAGCGACACCCAGGTCAAGACCTGGTACCAGAACCGCAGGTAAACCAGTTCAAACCCAAACAGAACCTCTTCCCGAGGATCTGGTCAGGTTCTGAAACTGACCCGGTTTCTCCACAGGACCAAGTGGAAGCGGCAGTCGGCCGCAGGTTTGGAGCTCCTGGCTGCGGCCGGCAGGATGTTCCTGCCGCATCACTTCCTGTACCGCCCTGCCCCGCCCACACCGCACCACTTCCTGTGCAGAGGCCACGCCCACCACCCCACAGTCCTGCCCCACATCCTGACCCACTCGGACCTCTGCTGACACGGGCAGGACCGGTTCTGCTGGACCTCTTCAGGACTCTGAGCTGGGACCGGGTCCTGGTACTGAACCCAGACCAGCTCAGTCTGGTTCTGGACCCGGGTTTGGACAAGGTCCTGGCTGTTTGTTTACGGTCTCAGATGAAGATGGACCTGGATCAGTTCTGGACTCATGTTTCAGTTTTGAGGTTTGGTTCTGACTCAGAAGGAACCGAACCAGAACCAGAACCAGAACCAGGTCTAGTTCTGGTTTTTGGACTTTTTATTGAGCTGAAGATGATTTTTAAATTTTTTTTTTCTTAATAAAAAAAGTTCTGAAAAGGTTCTGATGGGTCACGCTGGTCCAAACTCAGGTGAAGTTCTGGTTCTGATGACGGCTGTTTATTAAAAAGGTCAAATAAAAACAAAGTCGGGTTTTTGAGTCTCTGCTTTCAGGTTTTTCTGCATCCCGACCAGAACCTGGAAAGTCCAACTCTAACTGGACTGGTTCTGGTTCTGAGTCCAGTTTTCTGCTGCTGGTTTACAGACGGTTCTGTTCTGTTTACTCGATCAACATCTCTGCCGATGATTTATTGATGAGTCTGTTTTTAACCCGGACTTCTGTCCCAGAACCGCGGGTCGGTCCGGTCCGGTTCAAACGGTTCTGGAGCCATTAGCCGATAAAAAATTCATCAGAGGCTGAAAAATTGATGCAGCTAAAAGTTTGTTTCACGTCAGACTGAACAAACAGCAGCTGGATCGGACCGGGTCAGCCGGGGGTCGGTCCTGATTCTGGTTCTGGTTCTGGGAGACCAACGAGATTCTGCAGGTTTTCTTCTCAAAACTTCAAATTTATTCAACAGATTTTTAAATAAAAACTTTAAATATTTAAAATCTTTTTCAGTCCAGAACCGCCTGGTTCTGATTCTGCTAAAACTGATCCATGGACTGGACTGGACTGGACTGGACTGGACTGGATCGGACCGGTTCCATCATGGTTCACAGAAACACCCTGAAAACTCTTCATCCTCAGTCCCCCTCCTCTTCCTCCTGACCCCGGTTCCTCTTCCTCCTCCTGGCTCCTCCCTCCAACCCGCTGGAGAACTCCGACCGGATCAGAACCGCCTCCCTCCGACCCGGGTGAAACCTGAAAACAGGAGTGATCTGTAAACAGAGGTTCTGTCTCCATGGTAACAGCAGCTGACAGGAAGTTCTGAAAACTCACTTTCTTTTCTCAGCGGTCCGGCTCTGGTTCTGGTTCTGGTTCTGGTTCTTGCCAGGACTTGCAGCAGGCTTCCTGGCCTGGTTCCTGGCCCGGCCCTGGTTTCCGGGCCGGCTCAGGCCCTGCGGGGCGTCTCTGAGGCCGAAGCTCTTGGCGGCGTGGCCCAGGTGCAGCGAGCGGATGTGGAAGATGTGTTTGAGGTGCGTGGGATACGTGGTGTATGCCCGCAGGAAGGACTGCAGAGCTGTGACATCACAGGGACACGTCGGCCAATCAGAAAACAACACACACTCCTGACGGGGGGAGGCGGGGTCACGGGATCGTACCTGTCTTAGCGGCCTGCAGGGACGTGGCGCTCGAGTGCACGAAGGTCTCGAACTCTGTCTGAAGGACGGTGGCGCGTTCACGGACCTCCTGCTCCAGAGCTTTGGACGAACTCTGAGGAGACACAGACGGATGACATCAGACTGATGACATCACACAGACTGACATCATACACAGACAGATGACGTCACACACAGACGACGTCACACACAGACTGATGACATCATACAGACTGACATCATACACAGACAGACGACGTCACACACAGATGATGTCACACACTGACTGATGACATCATACAGACTGATGACATCACACACAGAACGAAGACATCACACACAGACGATGATGTCACAGACTGATAACGTCACAGACAGACGACGTCACACAGACGACGTCACACAGACGACGTCACACAGACGACGTCACACAGACCGAAGACATCAGACTGATGACATCACAGACCGACGTCACACAGACCGACGACATCACACACAGACCGATGAATCAGACTGATGACATCACACAGACCGACGACGACGTCACACAGAGCAATGACGTCACAGTTTGGAGCTGTTAAGTTTTGTTTATACATCAAATTGTAGAGATTTTTTGTCTCTTTTC